CAGTTCTATCGCTGAAATTGTTCGCCTTCCGCGTCCCAATTTTATCTAGTCGACGTTTGTAGATCAAATACCTCCTATCCGTGGATCCCTACCTCGACAATGAGTAAAGCTGGTGCTGTGGGTCGCGGCCTTTACGCTACTTTGGCATTCTTAGTGAATGCTCTGCTTCGTGTTGGCATCAATCTATCTTTGGTAGCTGCTATTGCTGTTACTGTCTACGCTATGGGCGCATTTTCCAGAGAGGCTCTCAAACAGCGGAAAGAGGGTAAGTGCTGTAGGATATCTTTTTGTGCCCACTTAGCCCATTCATACCTTAGTAATTGCTTTTCACCTATAGGAACACGGCGCGTTCCTTTTGTTACTTTGTAAATACAAGGTTGGAGGTAAATTTAATCATCGTCAGCAATTTTCACGGTTTCCTCGGCTGATATGTTCGGTATTGTCAGGAGGAATTTACGAGATCGAATCGCACCATCTTTGTTGGTGCTCGCCGACCTCTGCCTTGGGAACATGATTAAAAAGAAAGTGGAATGTTCAAGGAAAGATTTTAGGGGTTGAAAAAATGCTTGTGGTGGGTTTTGCAAACTAAAATACGCGTTTAGCTGAAGAGATTCTAAAGTCACGGTGAGAATTGTGCGTCTTTCTTTGCCGACAATCTCTAACCGTCATACAATATCCTCTATCGGCACACGATGTTCTTGATAGCGAAATTTCTTTGCAAAGATGAGTCAGTGCGTATTTTATTGCTTGTCTGTTTCTTAATTCAGCTCCTCTTTATTTTGCAAGAACGAAGGCTTCACCTTACGCTGGGAGGTGATTGGAAGTGATAGCGACCAACAACTTAGCATTGGCTTACCGCTATACAAAATCATTTTCCTTTAGCCTAGGGTGACAGAAATGGTAATCAATTTACCCTCTGTTCCTTTCTTACTTTGCATGATATGCCGAGTACAATCAGCGCTTTTTGAAATTTTTACAGTCCATCTTTGCAGTGACTCAAAACTCGAGTAAAAATGTTGCAAATGCTTTTTTTTATTATCATTTTACTTCCCCTAGTCACTGTAGGATTTTTTTCCACTCATTATTCTGCCTTTCAAATCGCGGTTATTCCTTAATCTTTCATTTACCAGCGCGTTCTTCTCAAAACTTATACCGGCAGCTCGCCTATGAACGGAACACTTTTTGCCAGAATGAAACACGCTGTGCTTCCATACCCACACCGAATCGATTCTTTCAAGTGTGTCAGTTAGCGCAAAAACACCTCTTCCATGCAGATATTATTGCGTAACGGGATT